GGCTGAATTGCACAAAACGCATGATCGCACCGGCTAGCCTGGTGCGCGTTGCCATTTATTATTATTTGTTCCATCAAGACTAAGTTTTTTTCCTACCACTGTTGCTCCTCGTCGCAGCTGGATACTTTGTCGCTGTTTTGATGCGGTGTTTATTTGGAGCAGAATTAACAGATTTCAATTTACTGTTGGGCAAAATAAAATATCGTCGTTACTTCTTCCGTTAGCATACATTTAGATATCAGAACTGGAATGTGCTATGGCTGAACAGAAAAAAAAATTTGAAAATGAAATTGCGGCATTGATTGCTGCGCACCACGAAAACATTGCTCAGCTGGAATCGCAGCGTCTCCCGAAAAATACCGAAAACAATGTTGGTATTTCAAATAAATGATTTTCTTTAGCCACTGCCACACTTTTTTGAAGGTCTTTGGATCCGGACGGCCTGGCATAATTGCGCTCAACTTGCATTTGTATCTGATCAGCGCTGAGAACTCTACGATAATGTTTAAGCACTTTTTTGGATTGAAATTTTGTAATTATCACTAAGCGGTTAATTGCATCTGTACTTGCCCTGTGAAACCCTTTGTGCTTTCAAAGATTTAATACATTGTTTTGATAGAAATTTTCAGGAAAATATGGCCACCGCAATTGAGATGACTTCCTTCGAGGATGAAGAAGGATCAGCCGCTTGGCCAAGTGTTCGTTTTTTTTCTTTTTTTTTTACCATGACGAAGCACGTTTCTGGCTTTATTGGACTTGGCAGAGAATATTGAACTTTTGTCTTTGAGGTCTTTTAGAGCACCGGGGAAGAATCGACGGATGCCATCGAGCGTGCTGGCGAGAATGTCTCTGAAAGCGATCATTTGAAGGAGCAACTGAGACTTCTAACAGAAGAACGAGACAGTTTGAGGTTGAAGGTTAGTAAAATATTCTGTTTAGTTTTGGGCTGCTTTTTTAATTTTTTCAATTACCCCTCCAACTTTTTGCAGATCAAAAAGGGCCCCTTGGTGTTTCCAGATCTGTTGTTGCCAAAATTATGGGTTTTTACTCTGTGTTGTTTTACGAGGAAAACTGTCAAAAGTTTTTGTGGTGGATCGTGGAGATCTTAGATAATCGTTATTTTATCATCCCATCCTACTTCATGCGCTTTTTTCGGTTTATTTGAAAGTGGCCGATTGCAGGTTAAATCAGCGCAGGAAGAGAATGCAGCTCAAGCAGATCACGTCGATAAGCTGACATTTCAGGCAGTTGACAAGGTACTGAGTGCACGCTTAAAGGAAATGGAGCAACAGTGTGAATTTCTGCAGGAACAGCTCGAAGCCGCCACTGAACAATTAAACAACAAAAAGTGCGTCAAATTATAACTAAGCTTTTTAGCTATTTTAACATACCAGGCCTCTATGACCACCTTGAACAAATCGCAACGGGAATTTTACTGAAATCAATGCAAATATCCCGAATTTTCTTAGCAAAAATAGGCGATTAGTCAAGAAGAGTGCATTTCAGACAATCCTCCGAACTGATTTTTGTTGCCAGATGAACACTGGTCCTCTTCCAGTCTCCTAGTCGGGGATATTCACTACTTATATCTCTAAAATTTCTACAGCACAAGTTCTGTTAAGTATTCTGCTCCGTCTGTTTGTTACGTCTCATTATTGATGATCGTTTACTTCTGGTGGGATCATTCGAGTAGACATAAGTTAACAGTTATTTATTAGGACAGTCATATGCTGCAGGTAGAAGTATCTAAGGTTAACGTGTACAGCCAACGGATTGTCCTCTGAATAGTTGCCTCCTTAAGACGTACATTTATAGGCAGTCCACTTTATGTAATTATTATTTGAATAGATATAATAAAGCTTTTAAAATATTTTCGTTTTTTAGTGTGCAACTTTCTGAACTACAAACAGAACTAGAACAAACGCACAGCCTTATCGATGTGCAGCGTGAGAAGTTTCAACGTGATATCAGTGAAGAAAAGGAGCGTAGCAGGTATTCATTGATAGTGTACCAAGAATGCCGATACTTTTTTGCTCGGCACCACATTTTTTTTTTTCGCTTTATAGGGCGCAAATTGAGGAAGCACGAAGTGAAGTCGAGAAAATACGCTTGCTAGCAGAATCTCGTGAAGAGGTGGGGAAAAACGATGCGGAGTCGGAGATGAGCGAAACGATCGAAAAGCTCAAAAATGAAATAGCATCGTGGCAGAAACGATTTGAAATTTCGGAAACCATTTTCGAGGAGGAACAAACAGCAAAGGAGCGGGAGCTCGAGAAATTGAGGTAACTTTTAATTGCCGTAGAATGATAATATTTTATAATTTAATCAACTTTTGCATTTTTACGTCATCAACGTAGTTAGATGGAAGACAAAGGGTGGTAGTGTTGTGAATAACATGCCATGGTTCGGATTCGGAGGCAGTAAGGATGAGGGATTTGAGTCGGTCCCGACCCATATCTCTCCGTCTACCACAGCGTAATGCCGAGTGAAGTTTACATTCATATTTAAATAGAATGTTTAAAATCATCGGCACTGCTCTATTTCCGCAACTTGACACGCTAGGAAGCTGAAGTTTTGTGACATGATCTCCGACCATGCGTGGATCCTCATATCATTAAACTAGCTTTCATGAATTTTTACGTTTCACGGAAGCGTTGAACATGGAATCGCCCAAATTGTTTGCATCTTTTCTACGCAGAACCAGACAAGTCAGAAAGCTCAAGTTTTCTAGGTTTGAATAGTGCT